CGTCAGACCTGGCTGTGAGCCTTCATTCAAATGCACCAGTTCTCAGGTCTTCCTGCCTTAGGCAATGCCCTCATTTTACAGGCACGTGTATGCCTGGCTCACTGTCTAGTGATGCCACATCTGGGGTCCTGGTGGTTGTTCAAGTATTCTGACTTCTGGGGACCACCTACTCCAAGCAGCCTGCCCTGGATCCCAGCCCTTGCTGACCTCCCTCTGGGTGCCCAGGCTCCTGCTGGGGCAGGGCTGTGCATGACAGTCAGAGACTTAATTTCTATCTTCACAATGACGATATTTGCATTTGCTGATTCCTTTCACGTCTCTGACAACCCATATCTAACACTGTTGTGACCAGGAGCCCTGGGTGGACGGTGCCGGGGGCTAGGTGTCAGAGTGCTGACTGGGGTTGGGGGTTCGAGCCCACCTGTCACTGCACAGGAGCGACCCCATTGCTCTTACGTCTGAGCCCGGGCTTGCAGTCACGGTGCCCGCCGTGCCTCCACTTGACCCAGCGTGATGTCCTCCTCCAGGGCCTGGCCTCTCCTGACATTGTGTCCAAAGTACAGGAGATGAAGTCTTGCTGTCTCTAAGGAGCATCCTGGCTGTACTTCCCAAACAGGTTTGCATGTTCTTTTGGCAGTCCACGGGATCCCGATCCTGGACACGATGTCAGCACCAGGCAGTGTTTGTTCTGGTGGGGGGTGGGGGTGGGGGTGGGGGGGTAGGGGGGGCCGCTGGGTGTCGGAACCGACTTGACAGCTCCCACTTCGAACGGAGCAGGATGTCGGTGGCAGTGGCCACTCCCCAGTCTCCAGCAGCCCACGTGGACTTCAGCAGCCTTGCCCTCACAGCATGTCATCTCAGCCCCATCCATGTGCCAGGCCAGACGGTTGCTTGTGGGGGAGCATCCTGGGCATGCAGGCTGTTCCCCTCAGCAACCCCTATCCCACTGTGACAACCCTCCCCCACCAGAAAATCAAAACCTGCTGCCGTGAAGTTGATTCTGACCCCCGGAGGGCCCCCAGGGGTCACAGTGGAACTGAAGCTAGAGGGTTCGCGGTGGTCTTTCAGGCGTACACTGCCAGGCCATTCTGAGGCACCCCTGAGTAAATTCAAACCACACCTCTCTTAGCAACCAAGTAGTAAGCTGTTGGCACCCCAGTTCTCACCGCCATCGAGTTGATGCCGACTCGGCATGACCCCATCGGACAGTGGAAAACTGCCCTGTGGGACTTCCGAGACTAACTATGGGAATTAGAACACCACCACCTCTCTCCCGTTGGGGCGGCTGGTGAATTTGAACTGCTGACCTTGTGGCTGGCAGCCCAACATATAACCGAATATGCCACCATTGGCACCCCAGAGATACCAGCAAGCCTCCAGAAAGGACAGTGGAGGGTGGGGGGTTGTAGACACCCCAGGGACCTGTTTAATACCTGAATCTCACTCTGTACCTGTGTCAGCATGGAAGTCCTCTTCCCCTGGGAGGCCAGCTGGTGTCCCTGACTGCAGTGCTCAGCTGCAAACAGCAGAGGGCAGTCTTGAGAGTGTGGCTAGTCTGTGCTGCACCCCTGCATTTGCAAGAATCGGAGCCAGGAGAGGACTGCAGGGCACCAGGCAACAAGAGGACCCTGACCTCAAACCCAGCGGCCCGTGACCTCAGACACATTGGCTGGACTTGTGTGGAAACAGCTTGGAAAGATGGTTTCTCCCTTCTTGGCTGTTGCTGTCGATCCCGGGACATCCATAAACAGACGCCGCCACCGGCTCCACCTCCCTTTGGGAAGAGAAGGGCCTGGCCATTGGATAGACGGGA